TGATGAATCTCTGAACCTTCTACCCCTTTTGTGCCAGATTCAGCTCAACGTGTGTTGTCTCAAAACAGCAAGCAGCTTTCTGATTCCAGATCAGCTGCTCTCTGGTGGAATACGAGCCGGCAGCAGTTTGAACTTTGACCTGCAGCGGCCGCCGGGCCACGCGGCAGGCAGCACGCCGGCCCACTTTGGCGTTGTGGCGTCTTGTCAGCTCACTGTTTGTTGTTCCAGCAGCTCAGCTCCTGTTGCAGCATCAGATTCTTCTTTGTCAGTCTGAAAAGAATCCAACACTTGGTTCTTCAAGGTCACATGACCTGCAGTCAGAGTTGGCAAAAGGTCAAAGGTCAAAGTCTAATATTTTTCGACTAATTGTGACTGGAACGTACCAACCAGAAATGAGAGTGGTCAGGAGCAGACAGCTCCATGTGACCAGCTCCCTCAAACAGCTTCAGTGTCCTCCAGAGGAAGACGATTCAGGACTCTGGCCACACCTACCTCTCTCCTGATAGGACGTTGTCAGGTGAGGAGCTCAGATATCCGGGAGGTGCTCAGAGTAGAGCTGCTGCTCCTCCAGCATCGACAGATGGAGAGGAGTCTATGCTTGTTTTCCTTATTGTGACTAAACAATAAGAGACTTTTGAAAAGGCTCATGATGCGAAGCCTGACACTTGGAGCACAAAGGGATGCAAAAGGTGAGTTTAGCCTAAAGAGCCCTCTTTAAAACATTTATTCTTTAATCTGAGCATCGCTAACGTTCACAAGGATTTTACACCTGTTACTGAATGCTACTGTGTTCTGCGGGACGTTGCTGGGCCACTGGGACAGGAGATGGACATCTTAGCACAGTGAAGCAGCAGGGGAACAAATAGTTTTGGAAAGCATGCACGTCAGCTTCCTGTCTCTGATCTGGCTTTCTCTTCCTCTTCCTGCAGGAAACAACTGCAGTTGTAACACCGCCAACAGCCACTGTGATGAGTTTGGAGTCTGCAGGTGAGACTGGATTGCTACCTGGTGCTGGATCACCCTTCTGAAGCTGTTAACATTTGTAGTTGGTAGGAGGAAGTCTTCTCCTCCATGGTCCTAGTATACACAAAGCACTACACTGGTGGGCGATGCTGTGTCACCTTGGGAAGACTTGCGTTGGGGGGGTACCACAAGGTTCTGTCCTAGGACCACTCTTCTTTGCTCTTTATTCACTTCCCTTGGGGGCTCTCCTGCGTATTCATGGGGTTAATCTGTATGTAGATGACTGTCAGAATTATTTTCCTCTGTTTCTGGGGAAAGGGGCTCCATTTCTAATCTCCAGGCTTGTTTGGATGATGTTAACTCTAGGCTCACTGCTAATTACCTCCATGAGAGCAAAAGTGAGTACCCTCTAGTAAAGTGGGTGAGAGTTCTGCTCCAAATTTAGATGTTCTCTCTCCCTACCAGAAGTCAGTTGTCACCAGCCTGGGGGCTAGGATGGAAGCAGAGTCTGGCCGCACTGAGACGTCTACAGTTGGTTCAGAACTCGATAGCCAGATTTCTGACTTCCTGTCTGTGTGCAGATGTGACCCCGGCTGGGACGGTGACTTCTGTGACGTCTGTGTGCCGATGCCTGGATGCGTCCATGGTTCCTGTCTACAGCCGTGGCAGTGCACCTGTGAACCGGGCTGGGGAGGGCGTTTCTGTGACAAAGGTGAGAAACCTCACCTTTGGTGTGAAGATGTGCAAATCTGAAGTAAACAAATCAAACCTTTTCTAAACCATTTCCACTCAAACATTATTATTATTATTGCTTCAGACTGTCTCGGTGTTGTGATTTTTTCTTTGCATGTTATGTGAATTATGTTTCCTGTCAGACCTGAGCATGTGCTCACAACAGCAACCATGTCTCAATGGCGCCACCTGTGTGACGGAGGACAGTGGAGACTTTTCCTGTGTGTGTGCTAAAGGATTTCATGGCCTTACCTGCCAGTGGAGGACTGGACCCTGTCACCGGAGGAGGTAATTAATTAAACAGAGATCAGTAACTGTCTAATACTCAACTTACTTTTGTAGCGCTTTCACACAAAAGAACTGCACACAAACACACAAAAATGAACAATATAATAGTACAGCACATAAAAACAGTCAAATTCAACAATCAACCAGAAGTAAAAGCTAGAGAATATTAACGAGACTTTAAAAGTATCTTAAGGGACAGCAGGAGCTCAGGCTGTCCAGTAATTGAAAGGTTGCAGGTTCGATTCCGGCTCCGAGCAGAGAATGCTGCTGTTGTGTCCTTGGACAAGACACTTAACCCCCTCGCCTGCTGGTGGTGGTCGGAAGGACTGGTGGCGCCCATGCTCTGCAGCCTCACCTTCATCAGAGAGCTTGAGGGCAGCTGTGGCTACATCATAGCTCATCCCCACCAGCGTGTGAATGTGTGTGTGAATGGGTGAATGACTGGTTGTGTTGTGAAGCGCCTTGGGGAGCTGTAGACCCCTAAGAAGGCGCTATACAAATACAGGCCATTCACCATTTAAAATGAGCAACTGAGAAGGCTTACCTAATAAAAAGGGGAAGCTGGTTCCACAGTTTGAGAGCCTCTTCTGAAAATACACAATCACCTCTGCACACTAATTGTGTCCTTGGAGTCTCCAGAAGACATGCACTCTCATAATATAATGACCTAGGAGAAGCATAATGCCCGGATCACACCAGATTTGAAGCTCTGCGACGTGGATCGCTCACGAAATCCGTGCGCTGTCCGCTCCTCTGTTCACATCAGGAGAGAACTTTCAATGAGCGCTTCTGCTCACGCCTACTGTTTGCAAAGATAAGATGAGAGTCCAAATGCACACCCAGGTCTTTTACCACAGAGTTCCTGAAGGGTTCCAGTACGCCAGGTTCTAGACTGGCACCACTGCTGGAGATACTGGGACCTCTGTCTTGTCCTCGTTTAGTTGCACAAAGTTATATTACAGCCAGGATTTTACATTGTTTGGGCAATCCAACAATGGCATGACGGAAGAGTTGTTATTCTTCACCTGAAAATAGATTTGTGTGTCATCGGCATAGCATTGAAATGGGAAGTTGTCTTTCATGTCCATATATCATCTGGGTAAGGCAATGCTCATTTCATTCATCCAGGGCTCAGCTTTTTGATTGGACTGAACAACTTTCTGATAACTGATTGATGAACTCTTAGAACTGATGGTTAGGAGTTTATTGGTAGTTTATTGGTTCTGACTGGTGTAATGTGTATCAACACTTTTCTTCTATAACAAGATTGATTGCAGATTAACTTGATCTGCATAAGTGAAGTCTGTCTTTCTTGCAGGTCTCTTTGTAAAAATGGCGGTCTGTGTGAAGATGCTGATGGCTTCGCAGAGGCACCGATGTGTCGCTGCCTTGCCGGTTTTACCGGGCCACGCTGTGAGACCGATGTGGACGACTGCCTGATGATGCCATGTGGCAGAGGCGCCACCTGCTTGGATGGTATCAACCGCTTCTCGTGCCTCTGTCCCGTGGGCTTCACTGGCCGCTTTTGTACTGTTAACCTGGACGACTGTGCCAGTCAGCCTTGCCTGAATGATGGCCGCTGTGTGGACCTGGCCGGGGGCTTCCATTGCGTATGCCGACCTGGCTTCACTGGAAACACCTGCGAGAGGCCACTACGCCACAATAACTCCAGCAGAGATGCCACTGGACCCGGCTGGACGACGCCAGACAGGGATGGGAGTTGGCATGGCAACAGGCCGCTGAGGGTGACAGTGAGTGATCGTGGCGAAGCTGGCCTCTCAGACCTACAGCTCATCATTGTTTTGGTTCTGGGGGTGGTGACTCTGGGTGCAGTGGTGCTGACCACTGCTCTCCTCCTGCAGGGCCACTGTTGGTGCTGTGTCCATGCCCCCTGTGGGTCATCATCATCATCATCACAGGGAGATGACTCAAGAGGTCAGCGCACAACATGCGATGAGCCAGAGAGTCGGATCTCCTTCCAGAATACAGCAGAACCACAGAAGAAGAGACTTAATGAGCAGGTGATTCAGACTTAGCTGAGAGGTCAGAGGTCATCACCTCAGTTACTCATCAGGAACCAGGACACTCAGGAGCCATGGCCCAAGTGGACGCCATCACCATGATGACACATCTGGAGCTCAGACTCTGTTCAGGGTTCTCCTGAGTCAGGATGTTTGACCAAATTTAGTGTGAAGGACGACTTCTGGTGTAGCCAGAACCGAGTCAGCTCTGATTTGTGAAAAGAATCCCCAAATGAACCAAGCACAACAAGAAGCAACTGAGAGACAAGTGTGGTTGTTTGGGTTTCCAGCAGGACTGTAAATACTGTAAATATTATTTATTGTGTACAGAACATGTTCCATCCACATGGAGCCAACAGTCAGAACATTTCCCTGAACAGAAACAGAATCAATCCACAAGGGTTTTCTGTTGGAGCCCATGGTCCAGCTCCATCCTACCAGAACCACCATGTTCTGGTTCTCCATCAGAAGGATCCTTATTGAGCCCAAACATCTGATTCTAATCAAGAACCACAAGGCCTTCAGCAGACAGTCCCATGTAAAACGGACCCAAACAAGCTCAGCATCAGGATGGGTTCCAGCTGAGGCCCAGTCCATCGGGTTCTGCTACAGGTCCCGGTTATGTCTGATCAGGCTCAGACTTAACTGTTTCTGACACAAACTGTCTTCATCTGTAAAGCCCCACCTACTGAAAGCCCAGGGCTGCTCTGATTGGTCAGAATGAGACAGCTGGTACGTTGTGGTGATGTCATCAAGTAAAGACAAAATAATAAATGAGGCATTTAGGAGCACAGTCATCAGTGGCAATAACTAATGTTCACCTGCACAGACAGATGAGCTCAACATTTACCTGTTCAGGTGTTTGTAGATGTTGTGCAGAAACAGACCAATCAGAGTCCTCTGCGTTTATAAAGCTGTAAACTGTTTTATTATTGAGACATCATAGCAGCAGAATACACCAGAAAAGGTACATTCATCAGAAACAACACACCTGTAGAAAAGCCCCTCCCCCTGGCTCTACTTAACACCACACAGAGCATGTGATTGGCTGTAAGCCGTCCAGTAAAATGAAGTGCAAAGAAACAAACATTCAATCAGGAAGTGAAAACATTCTAACAGGAAGTGAGTGTTAATGTGGGAGGGGTCACATCTCAGTCTCAGCCAATAGGCTCTCACCTAGACCTGACGTCAGCATGACCATCTGGGGTCCGGAGTCTGTGGGGTCAAAGGAGGACACATTTAGACCAGGTTTCTAGCTCCAGACTAAGTTCACATCATCAGTTCAAGATCAACAAGAGCGTCCAATCAAGCGAGAGTCTGTCAGGTAAAGTGAGGACACCTGGACACATGTGTCACACCTGTGTCTGTAAACCTAAATGCTGAACGATCAGATTGAAATAACACCCAAGGTGGACCAATACCGTTCCTTTATTCTCCCCAGCGATAAACAACGTCAAGCTCAGCTTCCAGCACACCTGATCTCACCTGGTTTCACCTGAAATCAGGACGGAAGCTTCCAGCTGCTTCTGCGCTTTGGGATCAGAATGCTAACAATATCAGAGAGTCATAGAGTAGATTAATGAGGAACTTCACCATGTCAGCCTCTGACAGGACGAGGCACACCTGACCACATGACCTCACCGCTGCTGTTCAGGCCCTCCCGTCTCCCTACCACACCCAGAGGTCTGAAGGTCTTACCCATCTCAGACTCCCATAAACATATCAACCATTCTCTCTAAAACAGGAACCAGATGATGCTGCATTCAGGACCAGCCAGGAAGAAGCAACGCCCTTTTCAAACATGGATGTGTGGCAACCAGTGTTGGGCACCTTACAGTAAAAAGTAATTAGTCATAGTTACAAATTTCTTTTCCAAAAAGTCATTGAGTTAATAACTAAGTTAGCACATTGTAAAAGTAAATAGTTAGCTAACTGTGATGTTACTTTTATTACATCCTATAATATAAAACTTACTGGTTCTTATAGGAACATTTCAGAAACCTGACACGTTCCTGCTGTTCTCATGGATATCTGGAATGTTCATTCTACTAGGAACATTAGGATTATATGGAACAGGCGAGGCAGCTTTATTCATGTAGCACGTCATACAAGGGTTGACCCTAACCCTGACCCTGGCCCACGAACATTAACAGAAAATACAATTTAAAAGTTCAACAGAAACAAAGTTAAAGGGTTAGCGGTTACAGGGCAGAAGATCATTTATTCAAAGGCTGATGAACACATGAAGGTTTTCTACTCTGATGTAAACGTTTCTAGAGTTGGGACACATCTGAGGTCACGAGGAAGCTGATTCCATTTGTGAGCAGCATAATAGCTAAAAGCAGCTTCACCATGTTTTTTTCTGACCCGAGGTCAGCTGATTGTTTCCCAAGGATCTAAGAGCCCTGCTGGGCGTAGATACCTGAAGGAGATCTGACATGGCTTCTGGCCCCATGCCACTGAGTGATGTATAAACTAGTGAAGTACAACATAACTCCTGTCTTAAAGATGAGATCAGAACCAACTATGGACCGTACCGGAAAGTCCCACCCAGGTTATGAGCCTATCAGAAGGATGTTGTGGTCCTCAGTATCAACAGCTGCAGTGAGATGGAGCATCATCAGAACAGATGTTTTACCTGATTCTGTATTTAGACAAATATAATTTATTACTTTAATAAGTGCAGTCTCAGTGCTGTGGTGTCGTCTACAGCCTGACTGGAAACTATCTAGCAGGTTGTTTGTCTCTAAAAGTTGTTCAGCTGGATCATAACAGCTTTTTCTAGCATGCTCCCATGAAAGGGAGATTAGAGATGGGTCTGTAGTTATTCATCACTAAGAGATCTAGTTTATTTTTCTTTAGGAGAGGTTTAACAGCAGCAGTTTTCACGGATGTAGGAAAAATACCTGACATTAAGGAACAGTTAGCAGTTTCAGTACATCAGCTTTTAAGCAGCTAAAACATTTAAGAAGTTAGTTGGCAGGTTGTCCAGACAGCAGTTAGATGAGTTTAACCTTAACTATGTTCTCCAGTGTTTTAGCGCTGATCACACTGGAAGCTGGTATTCTAGCCAGATTGCTGCTGTGTGGCTGTAGCTGTGGTCTGGTTGTGATGTTTATGATCTCATTGAAAAAAGATGCTAACTCATTAGACTTAAATTGAGAAATGAAATCAGGGTTTAACTGTCTGGGAGATGAGTTAGCCTCTCACTAGTAGCAAACAGAACACGGGTTAATATTATCACTGATGACTTTGGAGAAAAAGGCTTGTCTCCTTATTTAATCCAGAGTTGTAAGAGTGCAGCTGCACTCTGAAGGTCTCGTAGTGATCTGGTAGGTGGCGCTCAGCTTTCCTGCATTTTCTTTTCTGATCTGTAACTGATGTGGTGAAACTCCATGGAGCTTTTTGTTTGCTAGAGATAAGTCTGACCTTTTTGGGTGCGATGATGTCGAGGACTTCACGAGTTTTACAGTTGAAGTGATTTAAAGGTGAATCAGCACAACTGCTTGCCAGACGTTTTGATGCATTCATGCGTTCTTTAAGAACTGATGCAGTGTGATCACCCAGATAACTTTTTGAGAACAACTGGGGTGTGTAGATTTCCTGTAATCATATTAAGAACTAAAGAAAGATCCAATTAAAACTTAAAAAAATCAGCATTTATTGTCAGTTAGCCTAGCTTAGCTCAGCTAGCTGGTTTGCTTTAACTGATACACTCTCCTCTCTCTTCATTTGGTATAAAACATGTTTAACTAGAAACTAATGCAATGGTCCTGGAACTGTAATCCCTCCATAGATGGTGACAGGAACTTTTAACCCATTCATTTTTGGCAGTAGGTACCCATGGTCCAGATGGGCGTTACTAAAGCTTCCTATGTGACAGCAAATTGGTGGAGGTAACCCACTGTTGACCTGCTGGGTGCCTCTGAAATTCAGACTACTGTAGGTGGACAGAGGAGAGGAGGAAAAGCCCGAGTGTGGAGCTGGAATTAGGACTCTGAATGCTGGTAAGATTAGTAAAGCTAGAGCGGGGCTGCCGACTGTTGCAACAGGTCTGGAGGGGGGGTAATCAGAATGATGCAAAGGCACCTGTGTCCTTTGATGACTAATTATATGAAAGAGAAATAAAGTAATATTAAGAGCAGATTTTATTTTTAGAAGCAAAATGGATCTCCTAATCAGGGTTTGCTACGTAAAAAACTATAATGTTAATTATAAGCAAACCATAGAAAATTTAATCAGTAAAACTGGAACAAACCATTTCATTTTATGTACTTAACCCTTTGATGCATAATGGTCACTACAGTGGACAGGTACTTAAAATTGTTATTTAATTATTTTTGCTATTAAGCACAGCTGTTGAAGACTTTATTGCATTTGAGCCCCTCCATTTGTACTTCAGTAAGTCAAGCCGACATATTTCATGTTCAGATTGCACGCTGTCCACTGTGGTGGACATGTAATAAATTATTTGTAAATTAAATTTTACAAAAAATATGTAAATATGAAATTTGTTTCATTCACACCTAAAGATGAATGAAAAAAATTGTTTAAAAAATCATGGTTGAAGATTTCATAATGCATGCATCAAAGGGTTAAAGTTTACCTTTATTTTCACTCCACCAAAGGTATTTTACATTATATATGTTAAATTAGAAAGCTTGTAGCACAAAACCCTAACCAGCAAACACATGTAGCTAATATTATGTATCACACCGCTCTAATGAAATTTAGCTATTTCATTTTCTATTTTGCCCTTTAAACCATATATCTATCGCATAAAGCTTCATTATTTGATTAAATGGGTTTCAAACCTCATCAGCTGTTATGATCAAACACCTAAAGCCTAATTTATACGTCTGCGTCAGGACGGATGCATGCAATGCCATTATCCGTCCTTTTGAGGGCTCTCCAACAGGCTCGCAAGGACGAACGGAGTCTAGCTCTGTTTTCCAAACATCCATCCATCAAGACGAAGTGCGCAAGCTCGTGATTGGTCAGGACGCCGCTGTCGTCAACAGCGCCGCCATTGCGCTTTCAAAATCATAAGGAGAGCTGAGGATAGCTAGCAGCAGACACGACGCAGCTGGTAGAAAGCATTGTGGAAAAACTCTAAAAATATGAACGTTTTATTCCCCCGTGACTGGAGGAGTGAACAGATGTGCTGCAAGTGTTTTATTGGTGGACGAAAAAGACAGGAAACGTGGGTTTAGAGGTGGTGAGTGCATAAAGCACAAATGTGTCCGTGTTAAAGTCTCTTAAATACAAAAACACAATTTAATCACACTATCTTGGACCGGATACATGACAGGATACTACAGAACAGTGCTAAGCCCTCTGGTATCCTGGCAGGGAATTGCTTTGCAACACTCCCCAGGAGACGGAGAAGTCTGAAAGCAAAACATCTGTTAATGAGAGCGTGTCCCTCCCTCGCGGGGCTGACGGAAACGTATAATTTTGGCTTTATTCCGTCCATTTTTCATAACTACTACTGTTTCCTTTTCCGGACTACTTTTTCATGTATTGAAGTAAAGCTACTGCACTACAACGTTTGGCTGCTCGACTCTCCTCTGGTGGAAGACAAAATAATGCATGAGTTTTTCTCTAAATGTGAGCCTTCTCCTGTTGGTGCTTTTTTACTGGTGAAAACCTGTTGCACTTGTGGATTTTTGACGTTTTGTTGTGTACCAAAAAAAGACTACAAATGCCACAATTCCAATGTTGACATTGTGTTTAATATTGTTTTGTGAAAAGGCTTTAATGGTGTTTTAGCTCCACGATGGTAAAGAAAATGCTTTAATACAACTAAAGTGTAGTTCCAGCTTGTTTCCACTGGGGGCATTTATAGCCATGTTCATTCATTAAAGTCAATGAAAAACTTTGGGTTTGTAGAATTACTAGGTGGGTTTTGCACTTTAACTCCACACAACTGTTGTGTTTAACACTGTTACATGAATATATTTTAAACTGTGTGTAAATGTGCTTTTAGCTAAATAAGATTACTGATGTGTAGCATTTTATTTTGAAATTATTTAAAAGACAGGCAATATTTAAGTGGTATGTTTTATTTTGAAGGCATCTACAGCATCTTGTTTAGCTCTGTAAAAGCTGTAAAAACAGCTCTCGGCCACCAGAGGGCAGAAAAATCCCTACTGGAGATACTAGAGAGAGAAAAGATGTAAGTGGGTATTTACTGAGCACCTGTCTCTTCAGCA